TCCAACCTGATATACATGAACAAGTATATCCGCTATCATTATTCAAACAGGTTCCATTATTGCATGGGTCAGAATTACAATAGTCTATAACTTCTACAATAGCAATTGTAATAGAAGAATAACGCAAATTATTTTAATGTTAAATTTAATAGTTAGATAATATCTAATTATTAATTATTGATTATTGATTAATGATGATATGGAATAAATTAATTGTAATAAAATTTGTCAAGATCCCGCTTTCTCAATATCAATATATCCAGGGAATATATTGTCAATATCTATTTATGACTGTTGCTTCTAAAATTTATGATATACATATTAACTATAATATACAAATAAAATAAAATGTACCATTTATTATTTTATAACGTAACTTATTCTAAATGAACACTACGTACTATATATATATGAGTATACTGTATTACTTACCTTGCGAACAATTGATTCCTGTCCATTGCGCCGCACACGTACAATTATATCCATTGTTACTACTTATACATGTTCCATTATTATTACATGGGCTTGAAGCGCAGTAACTGGTGTATTGTATTGCTATAATCATATTATAAAATTATAACATCGCTTTCGTAAGATTATGTTTTATTTACAGTATAAGAGTACTGTATATCTTGCAAGATCTTATTCATATTATCATTCATTTATTTGTTAATATGGTTTAAATAATACTGTACAGTATATTAAATAAAATATGCAAAATAATGACTTAAGATTAAATCGCCATTTAGTGAGTAGAATATTATATTACTTAGATTACTTAGTTTTCAGTTAAGGAGTTCTTGTTAATTACACTATATATACTATAAATGTATTATATTAAATATAATTAATCAATAAAAACAGTCTAAAATATTAATACTTTAGCGCGAAAACTACTCCGATGAAAAATTATATGTAATAGAATAAATCTGTTATACGTAATATCGTATAATTATCACAGAGACTCGATATTTTTGTACTAATACCATTTATATTAATCTTTGATACCTGATACTCGTGATATTTATATTCGCATAAAGTAGAGAGAATAATAATATCCTAATTATGTATTCGTATATGTATATATATATACTGTATGTGGACCCTTACCTTCTGTACAATTGTTACCGGTCCATCCACTTGTACAAGTACAATTATATCCATTACTATTACCCTTACATGTTCCGTTATTC